GGCCTTTCTTGAATTTTGTTTATTTTTAGTTTTTTTTTTTCATCATTTGTGTCCAATTTTGTTTGTTGGATATTGTTTGCTTTTAGTGAATTTATTTGGGTAATGGGATAGAAGAGAAGAAGTATAGAGTAGATGGTGAAGTTGGAGCTGAAATTGATGGGATTTTTAATTATATTTCTACTAGTTTCAATGTTTATTTGTTTTATAATTATATTTTTTACTTAATATTAAAATTTTTTAAATTATCTCACATATTTAATAGTATTAAAAACTAATTAATTTAATTAAATTACACTAATTTAATTTAAGTTAGATTGATTTAATTGTTAATGATAATAGATTAAATTAATTTAAAAATTTTACTAATCAATTAAATTAAATTAATTTAAAAATTGTTAAAATCCAAATCCAACCACCATGAAAACTCCTACTCTATATTGTGTCTGTGGGCTTGGCTGCCAAATGCCAATTCCCAACACTTATGAGAACTCTAGCATGCTTGCAAAAGATTGATTGATACCATCTTCATCATCTGTTTTGCTCTCACCGCCAGACTAGATTCCTCTCTCCTATGTAACTTTGCATTAGTCCAAATGGAAACAAGAGAATAATGTTGGAACAAATGACTCATCCAATTTCCCTGCTGAAAAAACTGCAAGGGACAGTGACACTTAATGCAAACAATGTAGGGTGAAAAATGCAGTGACTTTGTCCGATGGCTATACAAACTCCTTTCATACTAGCCCACCCCCACCCCGGTAAAAAAAAAAAGACAAATCCAGAGGTTACTGAGTTAGGAGAGAACGTGTATCTTAGTGTGGAGGTTCCCAAAGATCAACCCAACTCAACCTTGAAGCTTCATCAAGAACAGAAATGTACACTGCTTTGAATCCTAATTCCTGGTTAATCTCAACTTCTAAATTTCTCCAAATTAAAACAATTGGAGATTCTAAATAATTAAGAAACTCAATTGCCTAGAGATTTTGTTGGAACTTAAATATTTTAATAAAAAATAAAATAATATATTTTATAAATTGAATTTATTGTTTCATTAATGGTTTGGTCAAACTAGTCATTATAGGTTAATTGTTCTACTTAAAAGTACATTATTTCATAATAATTGTCAAATTTATTCTTATCATTAACTTGCAAATGGGAGTTACAAAACCATTAACCCTATAAATAGAACATGTTATTTTGCCCAACTATGGAGAGTTCCTTCACATTCTTCTACTTTCTTACCTTACTCTATCTTCAAAATATTTTTGGGTAAAGAAACACGTTTTGAGTTAGGTGACTCTATGAATAATGTAGATTTATAGAGTGATATTACAAAGCTATAGCATCTTGGGGGCAATATGCTAAATATATCTCCACTGCACCGGTTGATCTACTCTTCGTAGAGGCATAAATTGCCTTAAAGTAAATAAACTTTTCACGCCTATTTTGATATTATTTTCTTTTTGATATTTCTTGATAAATTCATTAATTATTATTTTATTTGATCTTATGATTGAGGTACAACAATGACATGATGTGAAGATGGAGAAGAGTGTTCAAAGAACAACAATTTTAAGGCGAGATTCAATATGCAAAGCAAAAGTGAAATATATGAGGCCTTGTGTAAGCGAAATAGAAATTTCTAACTTTTCTTGATATATATGTGCCAAACAGGTATGAGTTCTTGGTACAAATCTAGTTTTAAAAAATGAGGATGCCATACAATACTTTCTTTACTTTTTTTACTTTTACTATTGAGTAATGCATGCATATTAATGTGGAAGTTTTCCTATAATATTGACTATTATGATATTAGCCGTTTGAATTAAATGTGATCATGGGTAGAGCATATATTTTAATATGAAATTTGGGATATAAAAGCTCTATAAATTAGAAGTGCTTTCTTATTGTGTAATTTATGAGCATTAATATGCACCAATGATATATAATTAATTGATGATTATTATTTTTTAATGGTTTAAAAAAATGGTGAATAAATATGTGCGTTTTTAATTGACCATATTATTAAGTTATTTGGTGAAACAGGTGAAAATTTTGAGAATCAAAGAGTTACCCAATTTGGTCCATGCAATAATTTTGAAAAAATAAACTTGAAATTTAGGTTGATGTATTCTAGAAATGTAAGTTAAAATTTTAAACTTACGTAACTGAGGAACCATTTGTAACAATAAAATGTGAGATGAGCTAATAAGCTCTTATGAAATCTTGTGAGAAAAAATAGTTTTTCTATAAACTCAATTATTTGAGATATGTGATAATCATATATTTGAAATGCTCTCAATGTGGGGGATTATGATATGCCTATATATTATTATTGGTGACGAGACCAATGATGCCTAATGGAAATTTTGCGTAACATTCCTATTATACAATAAG